GGGATTGCCCGAAAAGGAGGCCACGTGGTAAGTACAATTTTGCCTCTAATCCTGTGGTGGAAGTTTCAAATAGTGTAGAGAGCGTACCACGTGTATTTCCCGAGGTTACTGGTAACACCAATCGCATAATCTTCAGGGTAAAAGGACAACCGGGGGTTAACGAGAAACAGACATTAAATAAGGTACCAATAGAAAAATCCACTTTAGAAATAGGGGGTACAGCAATGGAAAAATTCCGTTGGACAGGTATGACAAATTTCTGTTTAATCACGCATATCAATGAGACACATGTAGGCAAACTGATTTTCGATTCAGGGGCAAATGTTAGCTGCATAGACGAAGGAATAGCCAACGCACTAGGATGTGCTAGAATGCCTTCAAAATTACTTATACGGGGAATAAGTGGGTCAGTAGTCTCGAACACGTGCACATACTTGGAGGTCAACATTGATGGTTTCGACATATGTGGCAGGTTCACCATAATTCCAGGAAACGGGGAAAAGATTATCTTCGGCGTCGATATTCTAACAAACTATCATTGCAAAATTATGTTTAGAGACGAATCGGTAGAATTGTATAGGCCAAAAATAGGCACGGACGACCACGTGGTAGAACTAAACGAAGAACGGGAACTCGAGAGGTTAGGCACAATTACGAACGATCGGAAAAACCCCAAACAAAAGTACTGCATACTAGACGACCTTGAAATTGCACCACGTTGTAAAACGAGGGTTAAGTTAAAAGGGCCAACAGTAATGGCGGGCATTTTAGAACCCCACCCCGACTGCGTAAGAAGAACGGGGCTACTAATACCATCAGTACACGTTTCCGAGATATTCATTGATGTCATAAATACTAGGAACGAGCCGGTGCGGTTGGTAGCAAACTCGTGCTTGTTACGATCCGGCGGGGAAATAGCGAATGTTTCTTTCCTAAGTGAACAGGTGGGATACAGTACGACGGCCACGTGCAAATACGAGCCACAGAAGTTCGATATAAACCCGGAGCTATCGGACAGCGAAAAAATCGACGTACTGGACGTATTGTACAGGTATCGGGAACTTTTCTCAGAAGAGTGGAATAAGGCGGCAGATATTGAACCGTACCACATTAAACTTAAAGCGAACACGGAACCAATTCGACAAAAAGCCTATCGCCGCAGTCCTAAGGAACGTGATATTATAGAGGAACAGGTTAAAGAAATGTGTGAAAAAGGAGTTATTAGGAAATCAACATCTCCATGGGCGAGCCCGGTCGTTTTGGTTAAAAAATCAGACGGATCCTATAGATTTTGTGTGGACTATAGAAAAGTTAACAACGTAACCGAAAAATTCTCATATCCATTACCGGATATCACCGACTGCCTGGACCGTTTAGTGGGAATGAAATATTTCTCTCACACGGATTTTGTTAGCGGTTATTGGCAGTGTCCACTGGACGAAACAAGCAAGCCAATTACAGCGTTCACGACAGGTAACGGGTTGTACGAGTTTCAAGTGTTACCCTTTGGTTTAACCGGGGCACCGGGTCATTTCGAAAGAATCATGGATACACTGTTAGCTGAATTGAAATGGTCCGAGTGTATGGTTTATCTAGATGACGTCATCGTGTACGGAAGAGACATACGTGAACACAACGTGCGGTTAACAAATGTTCTAGAATGTTTCCGCGGGGCAGGCTTATCCCTAAAACCATCAAAATGCAGATTCGCCTACCAAAAGTTACCAATTTTGGGACACGTGGTATCGGAAAACGGCGTAGAACCGGCTACTGATAAGATCGAGGCGGTTAAGGAATTTCCGATTCCGAAAAATGTCAAGCAAGTTCGTTCGTTTCTGGGACTTTGCGGCTATTATCGCCGTTTCATAAAAAACTTTTCAAAGATAAGCAAACCGCTGACGTGTTTAACGGAAAAAGATAAGAAATTCGTGATAGGTCCGGCCGAAATAGAAGCTTTCGAAACCTCTTAAAAAAAAATTGACTGAGGAGCCAATTCTAGCACACTTCAACCCAGACGCTAGAATAGAAATACATACGGACGCATCAATCGTGGGATTAGGCGCGGTGCTAATGCAACCGGACAATGACGGGTTTTTGCACCCGATCCACTACTTGTCGAGAACGACATCGAAACACGAGAATAAATATGGTATCTCAGAACTAGAGTGTTTAGCAATAGTCTGGGCTCTACAAAAGTTACGGCCGTACATCTTCGGGAGAGAATTCAAAGTCGTAACCGACCATAGCGCGTTAACGTGGCTAGCTAACGTACGTGACCCGTGCTCAAGACTTACTAGATGGGGGTTAAAACTCATGGAGTACGACTTTGAAATAGTCCACCGCGCAGGGAGGAAGAACGTTGCACCGGACGCACTCTCACGCAACCCGTTCCACAAAAAAAGATACGAACGTCGAAGACAACTTCAATGATTTAACGGCATGCACAGTACGGATCGACGAAAACGGACAAAGGAAGACACGTTTTGCAGCGATATTACCGGGAAACTACCAGACGCTAAAACACGGGACGAATATAAAAAAATAAACGGGATCCTTTATAAAAAGAACCATGCAACACAAGGTAATCAATGGTTGGTCGTAGCACCAAAGCAAAGCGTATCCAAAATAATGAAAACAGCGCACGATATACCCGAGGCAGGACACATGGGGGTAGCGAAGACGGTCCACCGTATTAAGCAACGGTTCTACTGGAAAGGTCTGGAAGAAGACGTGCGGAAATACGTTCGGTCGTGCAAAGTGTGCCAGGCCTTCAAACCACAGAGGTTCAAACCCGCAGCCCCGCTAGAACCGTTACCACCGGCAACAGACATCTGGGAACGAGTGGGAATAGACCACCAAGGTCCTTTCAAAAAATCGGTAGAAGGCTACGAACACATTCTAACGATCGTAGACCATTTTAGTAAATACGCACTCGCAATCCCGGTAAAAGATACAAAGGCGGAAACCACGTGCAACGCACTCTCAGACAATCTGCTCTACGTTTTTGGTACTCCGAAATGCATAATATCCGATCAAGGCAAATCTTTCGATTCGAGTACTTTTAGAGACTTTACACGGTTGTACGGGATTAAACATATTATGGCTTCCGCGGCACACCCGCAAACAAACGGCTTATGCGAAAAACTCAACAGCATCATAAAAAACGGCATCAGAGTTTATCTCGAGGACGATCACGCCGAATGGCCGAGATTCATAAAAACGGCGACTTTTGCGTATAACTCGTCCATTCAGTCGTCGACACAGGTGACACCGCATAAGTTGATATTTGGCGTAGAACCGAGGACGTCCCTAGACGTAGGACTACCAACCGTCGACGAGCCAGTAAAAACTTACGACGAATACGTGACCAACCGCATTTTAGAAAACGAGAGATTAAAGAAAATTGCCGACGAAAACTACCGAGACCGGACAATGATGACGAAGTGTCAGTATGACCTTGCGAACCGTGACCGCTTCCGGAAGTTTGAAGTGGGCGACCTGGTACTACTGGAGTCGTCTCGCAGGAAACCAGGGAAAACGGAGAAATTTCTGCCGAAATACGTAGGACCGTACGTAATAACGGATAGAATCAAGGAAACGACATATAGGTTACGACCACAGGACGGACGCAACGAAAATAGTAGGCGCCAGAGCACGTTAGCGCACGTGTCGAGACTTAAGGAATTTCTAGAAAGATAACGGCGACTCGAGGGACCGAGTCTAAGATAAGAGGGGGGGTGGTGTTGTGTGTCAACAAGCAACCGACCGGAAATGCACGTGGCGTTGCAAAATTATCTTAAATTTTGTTTATTTTATTTATATATCAGAGAAACGACACCACAGAGATAACAGGCACAAGTTGTATTTGACCACGGACCACCGTTTTCGCGGAATGCTTACAAACACAACGTGCCAGTTATCGTCTGACCTTAGTGCTATTTTTATTATTTTTTTTTTTCTTTTTATCCTTGCCGGCGAACGAACGATGTCTTGTACCAGATCTAACCCTCCCAACGGCTATACCGCAGAGAATCGGACCTCAACAACCCTCCAGAACCGGACCACAAGCCCAGCCCTGGAACGGGCCATGGTGACCATAGCCCACCAGGACAATGTACTGCAACCTACCAATAAATTGAGTTTTATATCCCCACTTCAGCCTCATCAATATATTGCCTTATAAATTCTCAGAAATGACCACTACAGTTCTATTTTTAGAATGGAAGCCTTGTTAGGTAAATGAGTCATTCGGGTTTGAGGATATTGCTGCTGGCTGCCCGTTTTACTACTGATTCGGTGTTTGCAATCCCTCGTTTTTTTTAAGGCGATTTTAAGATTGTTCTAGCGTACCAACATGTTTCGCATCAGATTTTTGGGATCAAATACTTTTGGTTCATCTTCAATTGATTCAGAATACACAGAAATTTATTCCTTTGTTGGAAATAACTTTATTTTAAACAATTCTGATTATGAATGGGAGGATGTAACAGAGAGAGAAAAGATGATAGAGACCCACAAAACATATAATTTTCCACTCCACCAATGAAAAAACACCCAATATCAAGTAAATCATTTTATAATTTCTCTCTATTTTTACTGAGCCTTTTTGTTAACAAATAATTGAAGAAACATTGCTGCTTATTTTTGGGTAATATTTGTCATATTATGTTTAATTGAACAATTTCAACCTAAAAGCTCTTTGTATACGCTGCTGTATCACCTCATAAGCATAAATAAATAAATTTGTATTTTAAAGAATTTTTCTAAATAATTGCTATTTACACACATTTTAGGGCTAATACACCTGGTGTCCAAATGGTTAACTTTATTTGAAAGGGACAATGCTTGGAGAGTGATTTCAAACAAGGTACTAGAAACATTTCTTCAAGTAAATGTGTGCAGTATTATATAATACTAGACGAATGGCCCGGGCAACGCCCGGGTTTTACCCGAGTGCGTATATATATATATATATATTAACTTTATGAACGGAAAAATATGTCCAGGGTAGCCTAGTGGTCATGGCATCTGCCCGGTAAGCGGAAGGTCGTGGGTTCGATTCCTATCCCTTGACACTTTTTTTATTTTATCCATTCTGACCAAAATCTATCCGTGAACTTCACACAGTGAACTTCACACAGACAGAATAAGGCAATTATATATATAATATGATAAAGATGTTCTAAAATACTCATATCTTTTAATATATAATTAATAAAGCTTTGCCTATGGGATTTGTCTTAATTTTTAAATTATACATAGAGGAACAAATGAATGTATGCTAATTATAAGAAGAACCTATTATCAAATTACTTCTTTTGATATTCAGCATTGATGTAAGAAAATAGGTCAATTTTGGAAATTAAAAAAAAGTAACCATTATTAAGTGGCTGCCTTTTCCTGTGTTTTGCATGGCAGTACTTTAATTATACACTCTAAAAATTTTGAAAAGTACAAAAAAATAGCCAAACCATGGCTATAGTGAACCAAAAGCTCTGTCCCAATGGGGTTCACTATAGAGGGGTTCCACTGTATTTTCAAGAAATCCTTTATATGCAGTTGTTTGCTTTTGGGCTAGAGCCCTCGTCATTGTGCATTCAAGTTGATAAATCTCCAAAAGGCATGTCTCTGTAAGTTCCTTCCAAACACAATATTAATCTTAACTGATTGTTTACATTGGTGACGTAGGTTATCAAACCAATGACGCCTCAATCATCCTCATGAAATGAAGAAGGCGTGTGACATACAGCCAGCATTTTCATACTATGAAGCAGCTCTTTTATGGCTGCAATTCTGCAGAATGGAGTTGCAATGTATTTTTGGAGACAAAGTTGTTTTTAAACAATAATTAACTAATGTAATTGTTACAATTTGAGAAATGGTTGTAATATTAATGGTGTTTGATTATCATGGGTTGAATTGATGTTGGCTATTTGATAGCTGGAGGTCGGAATATGACAAAATGGTCAAGGTAACCCAAGTGTCAAATATCACTAGTTACTCTCTAACAAGGTTTAGACTGTATTTAAAGGAAGAGGTGCCACTTTTGGTACATGAATATCATACTCCTGCAACTTTGTTATATATACAGTAGAGCCTCCCGGTAAAGGACACATAACTAAAGAGCCAAAGTGTTAAGGCACAATTTGGATTATAGATTAGAACTACAAGGTAATAAGACCAAATTCAAATAAATAAATAGTTACCGAAATGTCACACAATTTATTCATTTGGATTTGATCTTATTACCTTTTAGCCAAAATGTTCTTTACAGACAGGTGTCCTCTTACCTGAGGGTGGGCAAATATTAAAAAATGGTAATTTTCTAAATTAAAACTGTACATTGTGGAGAGGTGTCCTCTAGCATGAGTTTCCTCTCATGTGGAGGCTGTTCTACTGTTCAAATAAATTGTAAAACAAAAATGACAAGGGTCATTCAAATTAAAACAATACTCTTTTGATATTCATTCTTATTTTGTACTTTTGGTTACAAAAATTTACTGCACATTTACTTATTTTCAAAATAACTGATCATTTCATTTGGGAATTCAGCAACATAATTTGTTTACATAATGGTATATTGCCTCAAGAAGATTGGACCTGGGAGTACAAACCTGTTATAAGATTAAGCTAAGAAAGTGAGACCTGCTCAAATACATAGTGCAGTTTTATGGATCCACACTTGTAGAGAGAGATTCCTTTTTTAAATGAGGGGGATGGAAAGTTTTACAATGGGGTCATTTGTGAATTGATGATTTTTCCATTTGAAAGATAATACCAGTTCCACCATTCAGGAACTGATTGAAAGAAAATCAGTGCATCATTCAAATATGTGAGTGTAGGATCTGAGGTTGTTTATAAAGTTGGTCCCATTCTATCTGAACCAAACAAAACTCCCTCTGCACATACACATGGGGCCTCTTTAAAGAAACATGATAGAAGGTTATAAGTTTTGAGCTGGGTAATTCTAGCCATCACCTCGACCTGCCCACTTTGGGAAAGAACTCTGGTGGTTCATCGCACGTACAGTGGCGTAGTCTTTTTCCTGCAGTAAATATTTCATAAATATATATGACATAATAAAAATATGATTTTTATTATTCATTAATATAATTATATTTTAAATAATCATAGAACCAAACACAGAGTTGATTTTTAAAATCCTCAACAAAAGGAGTACAACCCAAGATGTTTTTTGTTTATACTTAGATTATATCATCATAAAATTGTATGTATGCAAACTGTTTTGTTCTTAAAATATAATCATTAAAATAAATACAATTTTGGAAATAAAAGTTATCATTCACTTCAATCCACGACTGCATGAATGAATTGGTAACGTACCTAAAATACATCTTTTTTTATGACATATATACATTTATTTTATACTTCCTCCCTTATATAATCTTATATGAATGTTGTAATAAAATAGTTTTAATCTCCCTCTCTCCAAGATTCCATATTTTAAGTCCCAATTATTTTAACTGTAGTTATATTGATAACAATGACATAGTTATTAAAATTTAAAATCCCATTGTTATAGAAAGATTCACATTTATTTTGAAAAATAAAGCTAATCAATTATTTGCTCTTAAATAAATGAGGGTATTCAGAAAAGAATTGTTTCAATTTGAATGACCCTTGTACAATAGTTTGGCCAGTTCTAGGGGAGACTACCTCTTCCAGCGCATGTTGGAATTCCTGGAAATAAGCTAGCAGACTCTCTGGCAAAGCCTCTTGGCCACTCTGAGGCCAGAAAATCTTCCACCCAACAAGATGAAAGAGAGCTCCCCCATACCATCGACCCAATGCCAGCAAGAATGGAAATCTAATGCTGCACATGACTGGTACAGAGCAGGAGGGATAAGCACCGGTTCTGTCCTTCCAAGAGAACAACAGTCTTTGATTTCCAGACTTAAGTCTGGTCATCTACGAACAATGACTCTCCAGTATGGTTGCAAGGCTTTTCTACTAAGAACTAAGTGCAATTATCAACCTGCAACTTCAAACCATATTATTGATTGTATTGGCTCATCCATTGCTGAGCTCTACTCTTCCCCAGCAGACACAAGCTCTACAGGCTTGATAGCCTAATATGATTGTTTAGTGGATATTAAGATAGTGGATATAAGAGTACCTGTTCCCAGGCCAGGATGGCCGTCTTGTCCACAGGCTCCCGTTCCACCACAGTGACATTGCTGACACAGGACAGCCTCTCTGGACACACTCTCCCAACATTTTATATATTGAGATAGGAACAAATAATAAAGTGAAATTGTACCGAGTTCAGATGGATAAATTAAGGCATCTCCTGATCATGCAACTGATAGCTTGTACCATCTGTCAGAATAAATATCAACTAATTGTTGATTTTTAATTATTCCAGAAAGCGCAAGCCATCAGCAACTTTTAGTTGCACGATAAGAAGATGCCTTTTTCTTAATATTGAGATATATACAGCGGAACCTCATTATAAGAGTTTCTTTATAACTGAAACTTGGTCATCATAATGCTAAGGTAAAAATGGTTGTGTTGGGGGGTCGGTGGAAGGCTGTTTAAACCGTTTGGTTTTCGACCACTACGACCCGGATTCAATTCCCGCATTGGACACTTTTTTCTGATTTAAAAAAAAAATGCTCCAATGGCCCCCGATTCTTGCAAAAGTCCAACCCCACCAGCGAGTGCAAGTAACCAAACGGGGCTCTGGCACATTTGTAAATGCAAAGTCGAACTACTTTTCACATGTGTAGACATGTGATGCGCTTACAGTAAAAGCAGTCGCGAACTACCCACCATGATTATCATGGCCTGTACCACGTGTACTAGGGATAATTTTTTAAAAAATGGTTGTGGCTATAACAACATAAAATCTGGATCCCAAGTGATGTCGCTATAGCAAGGTTCAACTTTATAAAAAAAAAGTTAATTGAATTTTTCATCTAATTCTTTACTTGATAGAAATGCATTTTGTCATTTAAAAAAAATATAATAATAATAAATAGATGTCCAATGGTACCTGTTATTATTCAAAGCCATTGTTACCTATCCTACACCGAAGTTGAGCTTTTTGAAACAGACCTATTTTTATGTGAGCAATAGTTACCCATAAATTATTTGAGAAAGGAAAAATAAAAATTAGGTGAAAAGTTTATTTTAATTTTGAATTTGCAAGCTTTCGAGCAAATATACTGCTCTTCAACGGGCTGCTAATACTCTTATGTATAATCTCTAAATAATCTTTATACAAAATAATTGAAAAACTTTTGTTATTAGCATGTGTGGGCATGCATCAGACTGTTTACAGCTAAGTAATAGATATTATACTGGGATGAAATATATATACACACAAATAATTACACCTATCCCCTGATTTACATGGTACTTGTTTTACACGTTTTCGCTTTTACACGGTTTTCCAAATAAGTTTTTTTTTTGTTTTTATCGCACTATACTAAATGCTACTGTGATTGAACACATGTGCTGTGTACACATCTCACGAGGAATCCCGAGCATATGTGCTGACTACATATTTTAACCTGTCAATGCATTTTATTTTTATTTCTGTGTACACCTATCCCCCGATTTACACGTTTTCTCAGGAACGTATCTACCGTGTAAATTGGGGGATAGGTGTATTAATATTTAAATAATTTGTCAGGGATATTGTTATATTTGGTTGGGAGGTCAATTTTTCTATTGATGCTATTTATTTCTGATGATACCAGTGCTTCCAGGAATAATCGTTGCTGCTTGCTTTTTATGTCGTGAAAATGGGCTATTGCTTGTTTGAGATTGAATGTGTGTCCAGTGGTGTTGATGGATCTATTGTCTTTGTATCTTATGTTTCTCTCGTGTTCTGTTAGCCGGGTCTCTATTGTCCTACTGGTTTCTCCTACATATGTGGCATTGCATTGGTTACATTTGACAGAATATATTGCATTTGATTTAGATAGGGGATTGGAAATGATATTTTTGGTAATTGGGTTTCTCAGCAAAGAACCAAGATTGGCATGGGTGCTAAAATAAGTCACTATACCATATTTATCTAACTTATGAGCTATTGCAGTATTGGCTT